ATCAGATACTTTTCAAAGTATATCATTTGCACGTGGAACAATGCTTATTTTTAATCCAAGACTGGGTTGAAAAAAATGTTCTTGTTCCATTACTGATTAAATAGTAAAATAGAAAAATAACACTGGCCATGAGAGGTTTTATGGACATACAGACATTTATCCATCTCTGCATTTTTGTAATATCCTTTCTCTAATGCTTTAGCTAACAAGCCAATGACAATATCAAATTCAGGGGAGTCAAGAAGTCAGTGCCATAATCTTACTTTGTAAATTCAAGCAGGAAGACTCAAGCAAATGGGCATTTATTAAGCATTGTATTCTCTGTAATGCATAAGTCCTGTAAAGAAGACTTCTGAATCTTAACCAACGTGACCACTGGCAATCCAATGGCTGAGTGCTGGCAGAAGGGTGTGTGCACTTGTGGGCAAATGTCTTTGTTTTATTAAGTAACAAGTGAGCATTAATTACTCATCCCCTGGTGTAGTAATGAATATCGAACCGAAATAACATGTTTTAGATGTCTGTCTTGCGTATCTGATAAAAACTGGGCTTTCCACTTGAGTCACTTGTTTCAAAAAGATACTGTGCAAGTTTAAATATCTTCTTTCTAGGTTACCCATAAGTCATAGTTCTGTAAATAAGGAAAGAAACATGAATAAATGCAAAACAATAGAGAATGCGCTATCGGTGCTCTAAAAATAAAACTCTATTTATTGATCAGTATGTACAGACATCAGAACTTCTTTGGGACTTTATTTCCAAAGACACGTTTCAACTAAACAATGACAATGGCAAAGGTACATGAGTTGTTGATGATATTTTCCTCTTTGGAAAATCAACTTAGAGCATGAAATTTCAGGAGCCAGGTATTTAGACGTAACAATGCTACACAATTGTATGTCTCAGAAAAAAAATATGTTAAAAGGTGATACCTTAGTAATGTGTTTTTAATAAAAAGATGTTTTATCCACATTTGACTTCAGTCTTCTTTATTTGAGAGGTATCTGCTTGCTGTATAGATGAGGAGCAGAAGCCCTTAAGATAAACCAAAGCAATGGCTGCTGAATTGCTACAGGGGTGCTAACACGATGAATTCTCGGAAATATTGTTCTAGGGGTCCATTCTCATACCTTAGAGGGGGTGTTGATGGGAATGGATCCCTGCTACCCCAATTAAAAAGACTTTAATTTCTGTTCAACTTCTGTATATAGTGTTGGAAATATGACTTTGTACACTTTAAGTCACTCTTCTGTCTGCTGGATAGTAAAGTCAATCATTTTGTAATCATAATGATAAAAGAACACAAGAACAGAGAGGGCAGTCTGGTCATCTTGTTGGCAGGAGATCAGTGGTGCCAGTCGTCCCATCAGGACTCTTGTTGAAGGGCCACCAGTGACTCAGCTGTATGACTTGACTCAACAGTTTCAGCCACACCACATGTATCTCTGTCACTGGAGATTGACACGACTTCTGTGATGATCTGGCTTCACTTTGTCAATTCTGGATAATAACTGGGGCAAAATATTTTATATCTGCTTATGATGTTCCAGTCTGTGGTACTTTAATACTGTGCAATGTCAGCTGTAAAGTCACAAATAATGTCAGACAGGCATGCTGTTAAAGGGATTTGGACTTGATTCAAATGATATAATTCATCCATGTTTGGTAGTGTTTATAGTGAATGTGGCAGGAATATTTGAAAAATACTGTTTGCATTTGAAAATTGGATAGAAATGTAATTACATTGGCAGAGTCATCGAGCTGTTACGCACTTTTGAGACACAATGGCGGCAGTTTTGCATGGATATCACTGCTGCCCTCTAGTGTATTTAGCAGGAATAGCCAATGTGCTTTCAGACTTCCCCTTTAATTCCGGGAGGTACGGGAGATTTGTTTTTTTTCAAGGAAGTTCAGATAGTCTGCTTTCACATTGTATTTTGAGAAAGTCAGTGAAAAGTTTTCTTCAGAGAACAAAGTGTCTTATTTCAGCAGGTGTTTACCAAAACATTTTCTAGAAAGCATGTTACAATATACTGTAGCTGTATTTGTTCTAATAATTCTGTGCTATGATAGCAATTGTGGAGGTACTTTATTTAATTAATACCTGATTATTATATTTTCTTTTAGGAAAAAAGAAGCATCTGGAAGTTTTAAGCTCTTTAAACATTGTCACAACCATTGGGTTAATGGTAAAGTAATATTGCACAGGGCTAATAAAATTGACAGCAACAGTGTGACATAAAAGCAGTATGGTTTGTCTCCAGTTCAGTGGTACTGTAGGTCACTGACGATGTGAAAAGTTAGACCAAAGGGAATTAAATACCCTTTATTAGACATTAGTTTGTATGTATTGCTTCCAAATGACTTTTTCTATTATTTATTTTTTTGTTTTTTGAAAATAAAATTTAGTAAAGAGGAACTTTTACTGAGAAAAAAAAAACATAATTTTAAAACATTCTGTCTCCACGTCAGTGGTAGATCACTTTTCTGATAATGTAAAAAGTTAGACCAAAGGGAATTAAATACCTTTTATCGAACACTTCTGCATTTATAGAGTACCTTTAAATTTAAAAAGTGTTATGTTGTTAATGCAAGGTCAAGAATACCATATTAATCTATGACAGTGTTGTCGCTTAGAGAGGCTGGGAAGTTTGGAGTTGGAGAGGGGTAAGAGGCTGTGGAAATACTGCATGGTCCTGGCCCTTATATTATGAAAAAATCACGTGGTTGAATTTTTAAAAAACATGCTCCAGAAATGCTGTTACCTTGAAAAAAGAAACCTGGAATAAACACAAACATTTGCATTGGTAAAAGCAATCAGAGGTGAGGCCCTCCAGGTTGAAATCTCTTCAGAAGTGCATTTCTTTCCAGATGGCTATAAATCACAGTTCTGTAAATAATGAAAGCCAATTTTAAAACAAGTAAGTGAAAATAATAAAATTAGAAAATGTGCAATAAATGCTCTGAGTATCCGATTTTCAAGGGCTGTTCTGGCCTGGTGATCATAGTGTCCCCTGGTCTCATTTCAAATGAGCTCCCTAACTGAGCCCTTAACAAAACAATAATTACATTAATTAAATCTGTATCGAATTTGGCTCTTTAACCACATGAAATGTTATATTAACTATTTGATTTTAAATGTAGCTAAAGACCCACAACTGATTAGATTAATTGCCTGAGTAAATAACTGAGCTTCACTGGAGAGCTGGGGAAAGTACTAGTGTGTTCCAATGTTAATTAAACAGCTTGAGATGTTTATTTAATTATTAACTCGTCTTAACCTGTTGTTTTTATCTGGTAGCCCAATACAAAGTTGATTCATAGTGCTGTGTTTCAGTTTCTGTAGTTCCCAGTTCATTTTTGTAAAATACTTTTATTATTTTTTGGTAACATTTCTGCTTATAAACTCTTGGTTGTTGTGTCCACACATTTCTGCTGATTGATTTGAATCTGCTGATCTGAAAGTTATGTTTCATTCCCAAATTCTGTTTGCCTATTTTAGTTAATATTATGTTTTAAACCTCTGCAAGGCCCTTTCCTGACCCTGGTCCAATGATTTGGACCAATGGTCCCACAGAGCAAGTGCTCCAATAATGAAACTGTATTTGTTGATCAGTGTATACTGAGGTCACAAGTGGGGACAATCCTCTTTGGAACTTTATTTCCAAATACAAGTTCTTAATAACGTCATGCAATCACAATAACCGTTTTGAAGGTACTTTTTAAAAATGATTAGTTATTGTGTCTTCCTCTTCAGAAAATCAACTCTGAACATTAAATATCACAGGTAACTGCCTGGCTGAGGAACTGGGGTTGGCGGGAACTAGGCCCTATTACCCCAAGTAAAGACTTTTATTTTGGTCAATTCAACACATGAATGCAGTTTTGGAAATATTACTTAATAGACTTTAAGTCACTCTTCTGTCTGCTGTCTAATAAAGTGATAATTCCCATCAGTACTCTTCTTGAATGACCACCAGTGACTCTGGTTTCTGGTACACAACATATATCTCTGTTACTGCCTTACACCTCATTTCATAGAGCGATAATCAGGCTTCACTTAGTCAATTCCACTGTATTTTTTATATCTGTTTCTGACGTTCTAGTCTGTGGTACTGTGCAATGTGAGATACAGACTAGCATGCCGATGAAGAGATTTGGAGGACTTGTTATATGCTATATACTGTAATTCATCTGTGCTTGGTAGTGTTTATGGTAAATGAAGCAGGAATAACTGAAAAATCTTTTTTTTTGTAATGAAATATTGGATAGAAATGTAATTGCATCAGCAAAGACATAGAGCTGTTACGCACTTCGGAAACAGTTTTGCCTGGAAATCACTGCTGCCCTCTAGTGTCTTCAACAGGATTAGCCAATGTGCTTTATGACTTCCCCTTTAATTCCTGAAGAAGCAGGGGGATTGTTTCTGCAAAGAAGTTCAAATGTTCTGATTTCACTTTGTATTCCGAGAAAATCAACAAATAATAGTTTTTTTTTTCTTCTGAGAAATAAGTGACTTATTTCAGCAGGTGCTCTGTCAAAATCTCGGCTCTTGTTCTGTGAAGATCTTGGTCAATTCAGATTCAAATCCAGTTTACCAATGCAGTTTTTGGAAAGCATGCTACAATATGCTGTATTTGTTCTTCAGATAATTCTGCACAATGATTATAACAATTTTCAACGTACTTCATTAAATGAATAACTGATTCTTATACTTTCATTTCCATAAAATAGCATCTGGGAAATCTTAAATTTTAACCTGTTTAGACTTCATGTGGTTACAACTGCTGGGTGAATGGTAATAAAATTGTTAGCAGCAGTCTAAAGGTCAATATTTGGACACAGGTGCTTGTGGATGTCTTGCTATCCATTCTCATACGGTACCTCTGCACCTGATTTTAGTCTTTTTTTTTAATGACTGACTTAAAAGCAGCACAGGGATCTGACTGATTTCTTTGTAACGTGTTAAGAGTTTGAAACAAAAGGGACTCAGACACAGGTTCAAAGAGGAAACAGTTTTAAAAAGCAGAAGAAATAAGACTTTTGCAGAATGAGCGGCTGTATAAAACATCACTCCTTTGCCTGCTAAACAAAGTCGCTTCTGACTACTTGCCCAACATTCATTTTTAAAAAAATGGACAGAGAGAGAAGATCTGCTACAGTATTGTCAGAGACAGATTAAAAGCCATGTAGCGTATCTTACAGAGAGCATGCAGGAACCACAGTCAAGTAAGATACCCTGTATCTGTTTCAGCATCCTTCAGGCCAGGGGCCACTCCAGCCCAGGAAACAATCCATCAAGTCTTCTTCCCATCTGCCAGCAGGATTTGCTAAAGAGCCACTGGAAAGCAGCACCTCATGAGAGCCCAGGGCAGCAGCTGAGTTTTCCGAATACAGACTCCAGGGAAGGATGTTTTCAAAAAGAAGGCAAGACAGATGCACAACCAGATTGACAACTGAATAAAAATGATACAAAAATGTAAGGAAAAAAAAGAATACACACATTTCAGAATTGGTGTGTTAGTGTGCCATGGGGTGTGGAGGGTAAGTAATAAAGTATTCAGGGTCTGTTAGTGCTGACTTCTGGGACAGTAACCAGCACCATGACAAGACGAGCTTGAACTGTTGGTTTAACTCGGCTTCCTCCCCTGGGGTGTGATGTTCTGATGCAATGAGCCCATGAAAGAGCTCAGCACATTCAGGACACGTTCATGAAACTGTGTTGGTGCTGTATATTCCTGTGTAGTAAAGCTCAGCTAGACAGAGTTCCATAAACAGAAAGATACTGCAATGAGTGGCAGTATAAATACTGTACATTACAATGGTTCGTGATTTAGCAATGTAAACACCTTACAAAATAGTGGCTGATGCACATGAGGTTCCTTGCGTGTAAATGCCGATGGTTCCCAGAGTCTTTATTTCCCCCAGAATCATCATTTGTTTACCCCGTCTCAAGCAGACCAATTCAAACGAATACTCAACCTGACCCCACAAGTACAGGCTTCTTGCGGCAGCCAGAAAAAGAAAAATAACAAACTTGCTGTCAAGCAAACTCCTTCCAGTCATTTGATGCGTCTCGTACTATGAGCCTGGGACACCAGCACTCTCATGAATAGGACAGAAAACCTTGCAAGGGTCTGACAGCCCTAGTTGTTATTATTTAGCTAACAATAAGCAATGGATGATCGAGGTTAACCTATAAATTGTTTATCTATTTGAGATTCTGGCCACATTCTGCAAGTGGCACAGTCTAGATTTGAACCAGTAACCTCCACTCCACAAGCTCCTTTCTGCATTCCTCTAGTAGAGGCCTTAGTAGATAAGCCTCTCACGAAGTATACTTTCACACCCTCATCATACTTTCTTTGTTCATTCTTCTACACCAGTTTGACTATTTTTAACTTCCTTTTGCAATAAACCTTCACTGCCTCACTGCTCAAATCTTAATTGATAGTTTTCACCTAAATGTGACAACACCACCAGCACATTATGGAAAGGACAGGTTAAGCTCAGGTAATTTTACCTATTCTTAAAGAATACAAGGACAGGTTTTCATTTCTTTATATCTTTTTCTCCTTTTCTGTCCTCAACCAGACACTTTCCAAGAAGATAATAACCTCAACTAACACACTGAGATGATGGCAAAGTGTGATTTATGCTGTCCAGACCACACTCAGGGATGTCAGTAACGAAAATAGATGCCCCCAAATTTAACTATCTGATCTCCAAGGCTCTCTTGCAGCTTTATTTAAAATAATCCTCCAAATCCGTGAAAAGAAACATAATTTTAAAACGTTCTGTCTCCAGGTCAGTGGTAGGTCACTTTTGTGATAATGTAAAAATGTAGACCAAAGGGAATTAAATACCCTTTATCTAACACTTCTGCATTTATACTGTACCTTTCAAGTTAATTTTTCTATTTTTTAAAAGTTTTTTTTAAATATAATTTAGTTAAGAGGAACTTTTACCATGAGTAAAAAAAAACATTTCTGCATTAGTTACTATGACTGTGCTCTCACAGCTTATACTTTGAGAGGCTACAAACAGAACAGCGATCACTCTTTAGCAATTTACAGACTTTTAGGAACAAAAAGTCTCTAGATATGATGCTGTCTTCCCATGACTTGAATCATTAATCTTTTTTTCTGTGTAAAATTGAAAAGTAGCAGGTAAAAAACACGAGGAACAAACAATAAGGGTTTTTTAGTGTCAGTAAAATTTAAAAAGTGTTACGTTTTTAATGCAAGGTCAAGAATACCATATGAATCTATGACAGTGTTGTCACTTAGAGAGGCTGGGAAGTTTGGAGTTGGAGAGGGGTAAGAGGCTGTGGAAATACTGCATGGTCCTCTCATCAAGCCAGGCCCTTTTATTATCAAAAAGTCACGTGGTTAAATAAAAAAAAAACATGCTCTAGAAATACTGAGTTACCTTTAAAAAAGAAACCTGGAATAAACACAATCATTTGCATTGGCAAATGCAGTCAGAGGTGTGGCCCTCCAGATTTAAATCTCTTCAGAAGTGCATTTATACCAACTGGGCATCCATGACATGCAAAACAGCATTCAGAGCAGCAGGGGTGGTAAGGGTGCAATTGTGAGCACTGAATTAACAGCCCTGATTTCCCACCAGCTTTTAATCCCTAAATTTCAAATGTTAACTTTGAATCCAGTAATGCCTCTTGCAACCAAGCAGACTTAAAGCTTGATGATAACCTTCCAAACATCCATCCCGAGTTACCTTGACATGCCAGGATTTTAGGGACTAGCTACAGACATCCACAGTCAGTCCTGCAAAAAGGACCATCTGCATTTTTCCATGAAAGCGACAGGGTGTACGTTGTACAATACAGAGAATGGAAAGCAGGTGAACTTTGAACTATTTTGGCTGTTAAAACAGTGTTAAGAATTTGGAAAGGTAACTGCAAAAGCTGTGGAATGTCAGCATACAGAAAAAGAAAAAAATATATATATACCAGTATACATATGCATATAAATTTTCTACAAAGATGGTGAGGTAATATTATAAACCTTAGAAAGACTTTAGAAAAAAAGACACTTAGCAGAAGATTCCTTGAAAAGAGGGAGGGAGAGGAGCCAAGAAGAGAGGGTAGTTTCTTCTCCTTCTCCATGCTGAAACCGTGATAAAGAGGGGAAATTCCAGTTGCTGGGGAACTCGGTGCTTCACTGTGAGTTTCATGCAACTTTTCAGTTCATTTCAGCGATGCATTTCATGCGAACATTAAATATGTAGATTTCCCCGTTACTAAACAAACAAAATGTAAACAATCTAATAAATGTCATTCAAATGCTAGACAAAAGAAAAAGAAAAAAACAGATGAAGTCACAGATGGGAAAGAAATGAAATCGTACTGTGTACTGGTAGAAAAGCATGTTGTTTCTGTAAATTAGAATGGCACTGATCAACTGTACGAAGCTTCTTTGAATCCTTCAGCTCTGATGAGCACAAGGAGCAGAACTGATGACTTAACAAGAGCTGATGGCCCCTAAACTGTCTCCAGCTGTCCTCATCAAGTTTGTTTAAAATTGAAACGTAGGGGCGTTTTGGCCCAGCTGAGAGGTTTGAGGTCACGGGCAAAGAGGAAACATCTGTGCATCTCTCTCTCTCTCTCTCCTGGTCCATCCATCCTGAGTGTCCAGAGCTGTCTTCCCCCATCTTTCTCCTTCTCCCTGCCCCAGTAGTTCTGGCTGGGCTCTGTTTGGCCTAGGGCTCCTCCTCTCCTGTCGACACAGTCAGGCGCATGGACACTGCCAGGTGATCGGTCAGTCCAGCCAGCTGAGTGACGAAACTGTACTCCTCCACATCCTGAAGGGGAACAAGAAACAACGTTTTCTTAAATACTGTACATTAACAAAACCAGAGGCAAAGGCCCTCACTCAACTCCTGGAGAGTCTTTTGCTTTCTGAATTCTTTTCTACATCTCAGATAGAGATCAGATAGAAAAGTAAGAGAGACTGAGCAAATTCAGAGCAGAATTTAGCCAGGACACATGGTTTAACTTCACTTCTGTTACAAACAACACTGTGAGATCTTTCATGAGAAAATTAGCTGTCATCCTCGCTGATCAGCATGAAAGAAGTTTGCATGATTTCTGATCGCCTGGACCTCATGACAGAAAGTGGCTTTCTTTTTATCATAAGTCTGTGCTTATGATTTTAAATGAGCTAATTACCTGATCGGTTATTTCTTCCCAGTCTTTAATATAAGGTAGTCCCACTGTGTGATAAGATCAGGTCTACTGTATATTAAAGAATTATCTGACAGGTTTTTTCTTTCAAAAACACAACACAGGTTATTTTTTTTAAGTATTAAAGTGGAGAAAATAAAACCTGTGACCTATCAGTAACAGCTATTGATCAGCAGAGTCACTGCATAAGTTAAGATGTGCAGCTGGGACTCTCTAACAGCATGAGAGAGTCTCTGCCATCACTACGGGTGGCTAAGAGGGCCGTGAAGTGGAATAGTCACCCGCTCCTCTCTCAACAAGACACGAATGCTTTGTATTTGAACCACATTTTCACTCATTACGAAATGTTGCTTTACTTAAAATAATTAGTCTTTTTTTGTATCTAATTGCACGCAGTGGTAGGCAAAATCATCCCATCACTCAAAGAATGAGTTTCCTACTCCTCGTCAAGGGGGCTGTCAATCAAAGCCTCAGCTAGCAGCTTGAAGAACATGACTCTTCTCCCCATCGCAGGTGGAGAGAGCCCAGCTTGTTTCCAAGTCATTTTCAGGTTAGGAGACGTCTTGTCATTTCCCTGAACCTCTTGTCCTCTTGCTTCAGGGCAAGAGAGCTCCTTTTGAACAGTGCACTGGTCAAGATTGCCAAAAGAGTTTGGAACTATGGGCTTCAACTTGCTTTTTAGTTCGGGAACCTGTTCTAGATTTGCAGGGCCTTGAGTCAAGTGTTGCCTCCAAACCAAGGGTTAAAATGTTTGAGCGGCCCACAATCGGCCGCAGGGTAATAATTTAATTTCCCCTAAAATGTGACTTTTGTGAGTCAGCAGGTTTTTGTTTTGATCTCGCTGAAGTTAACGGAGGCCAGAAGTCAAGCTGGTTGCCATGACAGTATCCCAGCACTGGGAGTCAAACTGCATTTAGACCAGTTCCTTCAGCTGCCTGGCAACTAACTAACTAACTAACTAACTAACTAACTAACTAACTAACTAACTAACTGTCCAGTCAGAGCTAGGGCCAATATTTTTGATCAATGTAGTGCAGTAATGCCAAGTGCATTTTAGGGGTGCAGGGCAAAGCAATCAGAGCACATTTTTGGGAGGTGGGGGGTTGATATAGTGGTGTAAAGAGACAGGAAATGTAGAAGACAACACTAACAATTCAATCTTTGTACTTTTGAGAGAGAAAAAATACATTTTAGAAAGAGGCCGATTAAAGAAAAAAAGTTTTTAAAAGCCCCTTTTATGCTACCATAGCTCACCTGGTTCAGCTGAGTGGTGTCACGCTGCAATTTAAAGAAGCATGGCCAAACCAAACCCATGATAAGAGATTACTAATTACACATTCTGACTCCTTGAAAAAACAGCTTTTGGTCATGCCAAGCGAGCTGTTGTGCAGAGATTAAATGAAAGAGACACAAGTGGTGAAAAAAAGTCTTTTGTATGCTTTTCTTGTTCTGTAAGACACGCATGCTGTTTTTATAGAGTAATAGTGAGCTTTTTTCTAGCAGCACTGCAGATTGTACAGAGAGATACCATTATTCTGCACTAATGTGCATGACAAATGTCTTTCACCGTGTTGCTGTCACTATCATGAATCCCACTTCAATTTTTTTAATAGCTTCTTGACTATTTTGTTGAACATCATCCTTGGTGTACATAAGTGCTGATATTTTTTGAAAGCTGTATCATTTGTCCTTACACCTGAAAATCCAAGATCCACGCACACTTTTGAAACCACTGTGAAAGTGAGAAAGGAGAAGATAGCTGTAGATATTGCCTCTTTTTGAGAAGCTGATCCAGGTTGAAGCATGAAAGGAGATAAAAAATTAGGCTAGATTTATAATTTTCATCTTATTATTCTTAGATAGAACTTGTTAACATTTTATTTATAGTTAATATTGAATTGATGACTATGTGATTATTAGGAAATTAGCAATAATTACAGAAGATCCCATGCAATCCAGTATTTCCTGATTTACTACAGTATGCATGTCCAAAGTGAATCTGTATCTCTGTATCTGGTAGTAGGCATAAGAAATTGAACAGAAAAATATTTTAGACCCATAAAAAAGTACCTTCAAATACTGTATGATAACCCTGATAGCTAGAAGATTTTCCCTCACAATCTAATCCTAAATCTGTGCTCATGCTGAGATCTTAAGCAGAACTGGAGGAAATCAGCTCCTCCTCACATCACACAGAGAAGGTGTCCCCAGGGGACCCAGTGACTGATTAATCAACCAATCAGGTAATGTCTTTGGCAGGGTCCTCATGGGGTTCAACCAGCCAGTCTGCCCCATCCTGGAAGATGCTTCCCAATTATGTAGAATTATCTGAATTATGAAGATAGTTGCACCTGCACAGCTCTTCATTATGGTACAACAGATCTGCGAAAATGGATAAGCAGATTTATTTAGCCCCTAGGGCTGGTATGGCGAGTATTTTTCTGTTCTGGAGGCTAAATCAACCTTTTGCCATTTGAAATGAATGGAGAAAGGTTAATCTATGGAAAATTGCAAATAAATCTATGATTTTCATAAAGATCTGGATTTAATTGTGGTATTCCTCCAGAGAGTGATGTGTAAACCATTACCGATAGGTGTGTTTTTGAATTAATTGGTTAATAAATGTTATTTTAAGGTAGTTAAAAAGACTCTAAATCAACAGAAATTAAAGGGTGCGTTTAGTGATCTATTTTATTACCATTCGGAGTCATCAGTGATATTTTAGAATCTCAAATTTGAGGAATTGCCAGTTGTCATATTGTTTTAATAATACTCAGACATACAGTATAGTATATTGCCTTAAGTGGAGCTTTGCAGGTTTCAATCTACGGAACACTGTATACTGCAGCAGGCTCTGAACAGCAGAGGGAGCCATTGCACTTTTTGAGCTAAATTAAAAGAATCTGTACGTCAGGAAGTGGTCAGCTGACAAACACTGGTAAATGTTAAGTGAATCAGGACATATTTCATCACTGATTTATGCGGAAGCTATCCCTGTGTACTGTGGGGGGGACTTCAGCTCCTCTCCATTGTTTGTGTACATTAAAGCTCGAGAATAGGAGGGAATCTGGATCTGAATCCACTGGATCCTTCCATCCATCTTCTAACCACCTGATCCAATTCGGGGTTGTGGAGGAGCCAGAGTATATCTCGGCAAGTAATGGGCACGAGGCAGGATACACCCTGGAGGTCTATCACAGGACAGACACAGACACACCAAGGCCAATTTTACAGAAGCCAATTAACCTACTGGCATGACTGTGGACAGTGGGAGGAAACCAGAGCACCCAGTGGAAACCCACACGAACATGTGGAGAACCTACAAACTCCATGCAGATAGCACCCCAAGAACGGAAGCACTGAATCAGCTGAAGAAGACAGTCAGATCAGTGAGGTCCTAGTAACCTACAGTAATGAATAAGACAGGCTGTGTGTGCTTCTTCCTTGTCGTCTTACTGTCTCAGTGCTCAGCTGCTAGTCAGCTGGACAAGTGTGTGCTGCTACTGAAAGTATCACATTAATGTCTTGCCACTTTCACAGTAGTTTCTACAACTATTCGTCCCTTACAGTCCCTAAATACTAAATCATACATTGGATTCATAAGGTCATTTTTTATTACTAGCATTGTTTCTCTTGCATAAACTCCTGAAAGTACAGTATTGCAAACATCATGTTGTCGCACAAACCTTGAATTGTATTTTGGGAATCCCACTTTGTTTCATTTTTATTATGATTTATAGAATCATGGCATTTCCCAAATTAATGGACTGAAAAGGTTTGGCTTGTTTCTGTTCTTTAGGGCAAGGGGTGGGTCAGGACAGAAAAAGAAATGCAGGATCGTACCACTTTCCAGTCCTGCTGCAGTCCTTCCTCGGTGTACAAGATGTAGTCAACTCTCCTCCCGCTGCCCTTGAGTGGTATCTTCCGACCCTTTTGACTAGAGCAGTGGTTCTTGCTGGTGGGATAAACCAAGTACTCCTTCCTCCCCTCTTCATTCTCCATTACTCTAAAGTGAAAGAGTAATTTCTTGATATTAATATTACTATTAGTCTGATTTAACAACAACCTTTTAAAGACCTAAATTGGAAATAATGGAGACTTGTATATTTTTGGAAGAAAAAAAACAATGATTATTCAAAAATATTTTAAAAATCTGCCCCCTGGATACGAAATGTAGGATTATCTGATAAGGATTAACATCTTCCGATTCGGGATTCATGAACAACGTCAGTCCTATATGAAATCTCATTCATTTCAGATTCAAACACATGATTTTGTGGAAAGAAATCCTAGTGCACTCAAAGAGCTACAGATTTAAATTCTAAAATGTGAACTTCTACATTGTCTCTAGTTGGAATCTAAAATTTGGTATCATTTTTTATAACCTGAATTTGGTGATGAAATGTTTTCGCCACGAGAGACGCTATTCTTTTCTGTATTCTGCTGGGATTTGACCACTGGGGTTAAAAGCCACATGACGCCACTCCCAACAGAGGCAGATATTCCTTGTGCCAAAAGACCAGGTCCCCTGCTGATGTGAATTCCACACTGTCTAGGTTTGAAAGGGTGATGTCACCAGTGGTGACAGGCTCAGTAGGTTTCAAGGGTGACATCACCCAGATCCTCTGAGCCCTGTTCCACTTACAGTAACATCAGCGCTGTTTGTGATGTGCTGTGCAGTATATGTATATACAGTAGCTTGGAACGAAGTAAGGTTACAGATGACATACTGGCCAGGGTTTAACTGAATAATTTAACAAAGTAAGTGTATTTAGGTCCTTCAATCTCCTGTGAGAACCTATGTTGATAACTGCTCTCATGGTGGCATATTTTACATTGTTTTAGTGAGGAATGTGAATCGGTCTTTTTCACAAAACCATGGGCAATAAATGGAAAAGAGGAAATCAGGAGACCAAGTGAAAGAAACAAAACAGAGCTTTGCAGGTTTGTACATTGAGAGCAGAATGAAGGATACGTAAAATAAATTAAGTATATACTTTGATCCTTATGAATACTATGACTAATTTTTTTTATTGTAGTGCTAATTTTGTGTAATTCTCTAAATAAAATTAATAGAAGCTGACAAGCTGGAATCTCACAGTCAAACCTCTGAAGCCTTGTTCTATTCTATATTTTTGTGAGCATAAACAACACCTTCCCTGCTGAAAGGTGATGATTGTTCACAGATTATGCAGCCTTACATAACATTGCTTGATATTGCTGTTGGATACATGGCAGGATGGAATGGCGGTCAGTTTCATTTCTGAGGGAAATGGAGTGGAAAAGTGAAATGCTGAGATGCCTTAGGCTAAGATCAAATCAAAACTTTAAGAAACCCAACAACGTGCCAGTTTCAAGAACACAGAATTTGATTTAGTCTGTTTAAGAATATAAGCATGGTCTTTTATAGCCATGCAACATTTGTACCCTTTTGGCCCATCTTGCTCACTTGGTTGCTGGTGGTTTCATAACATAACAATCCCATCAAGCCACTTCTTCAACTTCAGTCTTCCCCTGTCACCATCAGCCAGGTGGCTGGGGAGTCCCAGACTTGTCTTGATTCCCCACTGGCACTTAGAAGTGTTTTTGATCTTGAAACTGGCCCCTGAGTTCATTTGAACACAACTTTTCAGGACTTTGAATGCCTGCAGTGCCCATGCAACCTTCTTTGTTTCTGGTTGACCCTCACCCTCTAGACTAGAGAAGGAGCCACTTTGCTTCCACAAACAGGAAACTGACCCTCATGTGCTGGGGGCTTGACCTCTGAAGTAACCACTCTATTCCAAGGGTCTGTGACCATAAGATGATGTTAAGATGATGTGCAGTTGGTGGGAAAGGCACAGCTGTGATTCAATCTGGGTTTTATGCATGAGAATATTTATATACAATACTGTAAATGGAGGGAACAAAATGGGGGGAACTGAAAGGACTCACTTTTGTAGGCTCTCTGGAGAGCTGACCTCTTCATCGTAAAGTCCAGTGGGGTTCAGAAGTGTCCCTGTGAAGATGCAGATTAGGTTCATTTAGGATGCTGGACTGGTCAGAGGGTGATGGCAGTACTTGTATGTTACTCAACACGTATTTGTGTGTATGTAGAAGGTAAAAGCCACTGGTCGGGTGAGTCTGGTTTCCTCGAGTATTTTGGGAGCCAATCCCTACTTCTCTGCCTTCTAGTGCTTGAATGTGTCCGGTGTACTGGAACCCCTACCTTAACCTTAACCCTATAAAAAGTGGCACTTCATCCAGAAGCCTTGGTGAAGCTGCCTCTCCCTGACCAGGCTAGAGAACCTAAGCTAAAGCCCATCTAGATGGTGCTCATTTGGAGCTGAACTGCTTGATTGTAGAGTCTGCCTGTGACTCATCTATAAACAAATGCAGAATGAATACAGTATTTTCCCAAAATGCTGTGTTGATGAAATTAAAGGAAACTGGGACCTAAGTAATACCATCTTGTTTTAGGTAGCAGGTGTCTGTAAAAATACATTTAAATCCAATTACAATTACAATACTAAAGCATTCTGAAAGCTTACGATAAACCATAGCATAACAACTACTAAAGACTATTACTACTAAAATTTGTCCGAAAATAATTTTATCGTCGGTACTCTCGTAATGTATCAAATTAAACTAATTTGTTTTTATAACTGGGTAAGATCCATCTCACTATCAGTCTGTATCTGTCTTTGCTTACAAGTGCTCAAAACAGGCATTTCTCTGAACTGCACATGTATACCGAGTGTATATACAGATATTTGTATTGTAAGTCTAGGCATGTGAGAGATACTGTATGTTTTATTCTGTATAATAGGTAAAATCTATTATCTCATTTAAAGGTACAGGTTTCTGCCTGTAACAAATACAGAGCTGCACATTCCTAGTGCTTTTCTGTACCTATAGAATAACTCCCATCCTACTATATGTCTCCCAAACACTTCTAACAGACCCCACAGTTGCCTGCACTGAGGAACCCAAAGAAATATCTGGATCTTGAGCTGAAGGGGGGATAAAGACGTGGGCAAGGGGATTGAACAAATCTCTAATTGCATATAATGATTTATTTTTTGTTTGCTACAGTACTGTATATAGTCTTTACAGTCATAATACAAAAACTGTCTCAACGTAATGCAACATGGTTGATTGTACTATTAATGCTAGCTAAGCTACTGTATTTTGTAAAAGCAGTTCCTAGATGTTTCCTAGCGAGAGGCTGGTAATTAACAAGCAAGCAACCCCCCCAGCCTCTCCCCACAATTGTCTGAAGAGGTCAAAACCCACCCAATCATAATAGTTTTCATACAGCTAATTTTCCATATCTAGCACCATGTGTAAATACCTAAACCATTAGTCCTAAGAAATATGATTCCAGGTCCCTCATATAAGTTGTTTACAAACTGCTAGAGCAAGAGATATCGGATCAATCTGTTGCTGGCGGCTGTTTCATTCTGTTAATGAGTTTAATTAGACTGTCAGATCCTTCTCTGAAATCAGTTCTCACTGAGGCTATACAGTGAGTAATAGGATACATTTGAGTGCTTTTGTTTTAAAGAGCTGTAAAATCCAATTCAAAATGATAAAGTTAAAAAAATAGTAACTGAGACAAAACAAACATGCTTTATGAAATCTGTTCTCCAAGCCCAAGCCACTAAATCCTGAATACGTTTCTTGGTGGGAAACCTTACAGAATAACATTTTAGTACAATAAACTTTCTGGTTCAAAACCCACATTCTCAGTCTCATATCTCCTCATTGTGCCTTTGCAAACATCTGGAACATTCCTGTTTTTGGTGCTAGTTAAAGGATTAAGGCCAAATATTGTTATGCTTTTGAGAAATTGATATCTAAAGTACAGCACTGTCCTGAAATGGAAAATATGAAAAAAACCTCTCAGCAGGCCTGAGAAAAAGACGAGGCACCTGTCTTCTGAGCACAGGGAGACATTTTGTGTGCCATGAACCAAAAGAAACTCTCACAGCGCTGTGTCTGCATCTGCACTGTGGATGGGCAATTACAGTCCTCCAGGGGGTGTGCAGGTCGTGCTTCTCTGGGATCTTAATTACTTAACTGAACCAATTATGTACACAGGACATGAAATCACCAGTTCATTTTATCTTCATCAACCTGCAGAAACGCATTCCTTTGAGGGCTTGAGTTTTCCCATCTTTGATCTACATCACATAAGACCCAGGTCAAGGTCATGCAGGTACACAGGTAAAGCCACGGAGGCTAAACCTTCCCGTGCGTCTCTCCTGGTGTCCTGGCTTCCCTCCATGACCTTTCACCCCTTTCACAACCACCTAATCCCTAACCCTAGCTGCCTGGGCTCTTAAGTGAGGCACCACCCTGGACTGCATCAGCAAACCCCACGCTGGTCTGATCATGTAATCATTTGCATAACATTGACATCTGCTTAAGCTGGGCCTGGTTATAGCAGAAATGACATGAAAAGGTGATTAAAAGGTGATTGTGTTTTGAACTAACCTTTTCGCTTCATTCCCAGTCGTGTTCTCCATAATATTTACTTGCTCAGTGCAAAACGTGACACCTTTCATTGGTGCTGGCAGAGCACAGTCTCCTGTAGCACACCTCAGCTGATCTACTAATATACATTTTGCAGATGTTCCCATGCCCTTCCTAGGACAACATGACTTGTAGATGTACCATATGAGCCAGGATCATTCGGATCCCCCCTCCCAGCCAATCCCTCAGGTGCCCAGACTCACCGACAGCCCATGGCTTCTCCTCGCCAGCCCCCAGCCGACACGGGTCCTTGTAGTGAGTGAACAGGACGTGCTGCTGCTCCAGCTTGTCTTCTGTAGAGCGAGATACACATTAGCGCAACACTGCAACACTGTGGGCTTGTGGAACGGATTCCTGTAAGTTCCGGCATTCATTATTCTTTACTTAAAATGGAAAGCACCAATCCTTTTATTACACTCGCATCCATCCATTATCAGAAATCTGGTTTTTCATGGCGAGTACTGCAGTAGCCCATAGTCTTTCTCGGACAGTCCTGGCACAAGGTGGGATTACACTCTGGGCAGCACACCAGTCCATCAGAGAGCCCACACACACACGGGAGATTAGATTCACCTACAGTATCATCTGAGCCAACAGATATTTAGACAGTGGGTGGGAAACACCCCAGATTCCAGCCCAGCTATCTTTGGAATGCAGGGTCCATTGTATCACCTCCAGCTGTGCTGCTGGAGGTTGTGCCACTTGGGATCCCCAACATTTCGGGCTCGTATACTGTGAGAATTTGCGGGTCAGAACAGCTGAATATGACAATTGCAAAGTGCAGACACAGCCAGGAAGGAGCTCTCTGTCAATTATTAGCTGTTGCATTGTATTCAAAAGCAATATATCTGGGACCTTTACCTTGAAGGAGAGCATTTTGTGGAGAAAGATAAGTAAATGCAGCACAGATGTTAGAAACAGGCACATTCATTGGTTTTACAAAAACCTAATCTGGTCCGCTGGTGCTGGTTCCAGCCTCAGCTATTGCCTCCTAATCCAGCTTCCCATCTTCTGTAGAATCCAATTGCTTTGCCTGGTAGTTAAAAACAATTATGTCCTCAAATTTGAGGAAGAGCAAGAGTTCTGTTCTTGTTGCAGCCCTGCAGAAGAGGCTGACCCGCAGGAAGTCTAGCTGTGGTTTAATATCACTGCACTTTTACAGTGGTAGCCCTCGTTTTCAGCTGCTCCCAGCTCAGCCCTGGTCCGCGCAGCCTGGCCGCACTAGGTGTTCCTGGGACGACACGCACCCCGAGCCCAGTCCCACCGTGTGTGGGCGATCTGCCAAGTGTTCACTCACCCGAGGAGCTGTTGTCGAAATTGAGGTCCCCCAAAATCACGTCGAATGCCACCTGATCCTCTGGACCTTGACCTCCGCTGGGATGGGAGGTTGATTTCCGGAATTCCGCCAGCCATTCCAGGAGCAGATCCAGTTGCTCACAGCGGATTGCGGCATCTCCTTAGGAAGCGAAAGAAGGAGTTATTTTTGTGTAGGTTGCTGCACTGCCAGTTCGGCCAGTTCTCATCCATTTCTAACCTGCCAGTCATTAAACACCAGGAGCAACTGGTGATATTGATGCATTAAACTCAATAACAAAGTGGGTCAACTCATTCTTTAGGGAAATTGGGTGCAACAAAACACCATCCTGCTCTCCAGGACCAAGACTGGCCACCAAAAGGTTGAGCTTTTAGAAAACCTGCTCCGAGTGGTCAAGAATCTTCCTCACCTGTTGGTGTATTGTAATTGTAGAATTACAGTGAGTATCGCTGACAAAGAGATGCTATGCGCTTGACACAAACCCATGAAAACATAAGAATGGTAACTAATAACAGGAAATCAATTGGCCCATCCTGATTAGGTCGTTTTTTTTTGTTGAATGGAGGACCTCGTCTATATCTGAATGGGCTCCATCCACAGCTTGGCTTAGCAGTTTATTCACAACCCCAGCATATGGACTATGCCCGTTAACTAATGTTAGCATGCATGTTCAACTGCTATACAGTACGTGTATGTGAGTGATTGGACTGGGCAGCTCTGACTGGGACCTTCAGAAAGGGTCACTCTAAGCTGATATGTTCTAAGTGTTGAGTAAGCAAAAATAAGGCAGCAGCTGTAATATCTGAACTTGTAGGATAGGAATATCATGAGTCACAGCCTTGGGTCCTAGACAGTCTGCCATTTATTGAATTGGACTTGTCATTTTCCATGCCGTGGAAATGGTGTGATTTCTGACTGGTTGTGACCTAGATGAGGATAGGGAGAGAAAGTAAATTTAAGTTGGCATTTTCTTTATTCCGCCTTTTTTCAGTCTTAATCAAAAACCCATCCATTTTCCACTTGATAACTTAATAGTTCCCTATCGGTCTTGTGAACTGTGTTCTGTGCTGATAATTTTTAGGATATTAAATACTCCTATCCTGTTCCCTCTATGGTTTCCAGAGTTTAATACTAAAAAGAGTCTATTACTTTAATCTTAAAGGAATGTAAGGCATTCATTTAAGGCAAAATCTTAACTTTATTACTCTTCTTTGAACTGATTTCCAGAATAGCAATGCTCTTGATTGCAGCTGCTTGGCCAAGCAGACTGTGGGACCACTGAACAACTTTTTTGTGGGTGTTCATTTTAATTTGCCACGACTGTGTCTGCACATAATCTCGAAGACAAATTAAGTCAGCAGACAGTTTTCTGTTCTCAAACAATCTTATGTCACCTTCCTTATTGATCAACTGTCCAGGAAAGTAAAACTCTTGAGAACAGCTCAGAAATGTAGCGCATTTCCCGCTTAATCAATGCAAATGATTTACGAGCCAATGGCACCACAGGAAACAGAGGCTGGATGAAGGTAATAATTTAATCTCCTTTACAGTCAGCGCTGAATATCTTTGACACCTGTGGACTGAAAGAAACAGCTGAATCCTGCTGGAACATAAATGCCAGCCCTCTGAGATGCATATTTAAAGCGATATTTTTATCCATACTAAAAGCATAAAAAGTATGAGGTAAGAAAAGACAGAACTTAATAAAAATGCTCGGAAATAAAAATTATTAACCTTCTAAAATTGTGTGAGAGCATCCAAGAAAGACCAATGGCATCTCTCCAATCCCATTTTATTACAGAGGGACTTCAAATCTACTTAGTTATTGAGGATAAAAAGAAAACTTCAAAATTCAGACATCCTACACTCTTTTGTTGGCAAATTTCTGTATTTCAGAATTTGGATTTTCAGTGTAACTCATATTGACCTATACTAATCATCATCCTCACATGAGGAATTCCTGTACACTCACCAACTGTACTAAGCAATGAAGGACGATGAATGTTTATTATTTTGTCACTACTGGAATAATTTTGAAAAGTAAATCTGAATAAATGTTTTTTGGAACTTGGTGTCGGGTTGCAGTAAGAACGCTCATATTTCTTATGATTATTTATTATAGGAGTAGTTAAAACTAGAAAAGAAAAGAGACACAATGTTTCCTTGTGCCCTCTGCAACCTACTTGAGCTAGTTAAAACTAGTACATGGAATTAAATGATTAATGACACAAATAAACAAGTGAAGTTTAATTCCATGCTGAAAAGAAGAAAACAAGAAAAGACACAACGTTTGAGCTGTTCAGACGTCTTGAGCAGTAAATATATGACGTACAGTAAGAATATGTTTGTTGAAGCTTAGCGTAGTAGCGTTCCATGCAGCATTGCAGAAGAAAATATATCAAAACAAATAATTTCTTTTCACCTTGATTTCTTTTTCAATATAAAGTACAATATTTCTGAATATGAAGTTTTGTTTTACCTTACAGGATTATTTCTTGGTTATTTTGATCAGTTACAACCACAAATCAGACACCAAAGATATTCTGTACTTTTGGGGAGTTTTCACAGAGCGTTCAGTGATAATGAGCACAGTGTTCAGTGTTGCTCCTGGTTACTCCAGTGGTTTTGCAGTCTGTACACCTTGTGCTGTTTCTCATGCAGTAGATATATGCAAAGATGAATGTATTTAAAGATGTACTGTACTTGTAACATGCAATTTATGCTAACCATTAGCCTCCTGTAAATAGGAAACTAATTAATTTTTAATGCCAGCTTCCCCTGACCACGTGGTAATAGTGTAAATTTACTGCTAGTACTGGAGGTTCTTTTTCTTTTTTTGCTACCAAAATAAACAAACCCTCCTGCCTCTAAACAAATGGATTGAAGAGGACTTTTTATTTCAGAACATCAGCGCATGTTAAAATGCTGATTTGCTTGACGCCACTGACATATTTTGCTTGGCTTGAAGTAAGCTGATTTTCTAATTTCTTTATTAAATTATTTATTAAAGACATGACTCTGTCTGCAGTTGCACACTCAAGTCCTATTATTCAACACCTCTGGAGATGTACACACACAAATGTCTGTCTTAAAATGTTCAAGACTGCAAGTATAAAGCCAGTACCTGCTTTACAAGACTGAGTTATCTGCTTTTTTACACATCTGCCCACACTCTAGACCCTCTGGGGCCAGCCAGGTATGTGACAGAGCTGTTTATATTTAACCATGTGTGTGACTGGTTTACTCTTTGGAATGAGGGCATTGCACCCCTCCGCAAAAGACCAGCGTAGAGGTGCCATAAATGACTACCATAGGTGGGAACAATTAAATCATTATATTTCACAAACCACCTGCCGCATGTTAACATACTATACAGAAGCTACTGTACAGTGCTCAGAGGAATGTCTCATTTCTGCGAGAGCTGGATCAGAAACTCAGAACAGAAGGCAGTAAATCAGCAAACTGAAGAGCAGAGATTGAAATGAGTGCTCCTGATGCAGATACACTAATAAGAATGTGTTAGTCAATGTGTTAGCCCTGGAGACGAAATCAGCCTTTCCTTCCTGCAAACTCACAATTGCCTTGAAAATGGACAAAAGTAGGAGGTGATACAGTTTATAAATGATAAAGGATTCATACTAGATTGGAGCTTTCGTCTCATCTTATTAATAAACACTGATTGAAAAATAGGCACTTCATTTGGATACTGGTTTTATACTGACATCAGCATGACTAGAAACCTCTGAGGCACAGAACCACTTCAGTCCTCTCCTGGTCACAGAGGGCCTCCGTACTGGCAGGTATTCATTCTAATCCAGCTCTTTACTGAAATCTTCTCCTTCCTGACTTAAAGGGACCAGTTTAAAAATGTATCCCAGCTTTTCACGTGCTGGTGCCTTTGGGAGACACCAGCCCTCCAGGACCTGAACCAGAACTGGACAGCCCAGCTCTAAGAGATTGATTTACTAATAGTGTTACAAGCCAACACAACTGCTAATTACTAGTGGATTCATATTAAAAAGCTGATTTTCCGTAACAACTACAAATAATCTTAGAACAAATCTGACGCAGCTACAGGGTTTGAACATTATCCTTTCCTGTTGTACTAGATATCAAGCTTTCAAAGAAGCTTTTTTTTTTGTATTTGTGTTTTATACCAACCAGCCAGTAGCCATGAAACAACACAGTAGCAGGTAATGCCCAGGTAATTCAATGAGGATCAGGCTGAGGTATGGATCTATGGGAGTGCCCAATTGTCTGAGCTGTGCCACATGGGGGTGTATCGCCATTGAATGCTGAATGGGAAAGTAAAATCACATAGCAACCTAGTTCTTTTACCATTGGGTTTATTTTTCAGTTCTTAGTCTGGTTGTTACAGGATCTTTGTCTGTGTTGAATAAAAAAAATATATTGTTTGCAAATGCTCTATTTCTGCTTCTTTTCTTTAGAGCAGGTGTATTACAAGTTATGGGACTCAGTTTAAAAATTGATTTCCTGTGACCAGTCATGCTTTAGCAAGCAATTCTCTCTTTTTTCTCGATGGTATAACCGAGGGAACGTTATTAAAGGTGCACAGAACAGGAGACTTTATTTTTAGCATTATGGGAGTGTGATCCAGCGGTTCACATAATAGGCATTAGTGTTCATGTACAGTGTTTACCATAATCTTTAGGGCCCTATGGGCTTTAATCTAGATAGTGCATTAATACCTTAAGTTATTTTTTCACTTGAGTTTCTCTTAAATACTCTTTGAGTATAAGGGTTTAGGGGAATAATGCCTTATATTCAATGCTTAAGATGTTAAACACTAAAGGTGTTTCAGGCAAGAGTGGCCTGATCCTTTGCTTCATGACCCCATCTGGTCATGCACACCTTGTTTCAGCATACTGGACAATTAACGCTGATGACACTGGTGCGAGCCGAGCCTGGCTTCGGGAGGAGGGTCGACGTCACGCCCAAACCGTTGAGGTCGGCAGGTTTTTGCAAGCAGACGCTGCAAAGGCTGTCTTAGCTGCTATAGGCTGGCTGCCCCCTCCTCCCCGCGCCGTGATGGATCACAGGCCAGAGGCACGAGTGATCAATGTCCAGCCTTCAGGGGTCAGTGTGTGCTCCCCTGCTGAGGGAGGAAACAGACAAACACA